CTTAGTATTAATTTCTTGGGAAGATGACATATCTTGTTGAGGTGGTGTGTAAAGTTTTGCATGAATTTGTTGTCGGAATTCACTGACAACATGTGGATTTTTTGCCGACCAGTTGGAGGTCATTGAAGACTGTAGATCATTATCATCATATGATGTAAATTGCCGATGGTTGGATAAAGTTTGGCCTAGGAACGGATATTGTATATTCCATCTTCCTTTATTTATTTCTCTAAACCGTTCCAAAATGGATTTGGTATCAGTCAAGAGTCCCAATAGTTTTTTACTCTTATGCGCAAAGACTTGGTTGTTTGAAAGGCGTGATGATTGCGGAGTTGAAGGTGAAGTTACAGGAGAAGTTGTGATGGTTGGATACCTTTCGGAAAGTGGACTTATTTGGACATTAGCATTCGTTATACGGTTTGTAAGTATTGATGGTTGAGAATTTCTTCCCGAAGGAATAGACGATGATGTTTGGGTATACATGGGTGTTGAAAATATTTTGCTCTTGGCGTAAATTTAGATGGTAAAAATGATTTTTTGACAGCCAAAATCGTGTTTTTTTTTTTTTTTTTGGGTGTAGAGAATGAAAAAAAAAAAAATTTTTTTTTTTTAATTGCACGTGTTTTAGTGGTTTTTTCTTGATATTTTGGTGACACGAAAAATAGAAAACAGCAACGTGGTCCTGACGCCAGCAGGAAGACCTTGTAAATATGGTACGATCCGGTCTGCAGATACAGGTTGTCAACGTTAAAAAAAAAAAAAGTGAAAAGAATTTTTTTTTTTACATTTTTTATTATATATAGATTACTTCATCAATCAAAGCAGATGATTTTGATGGGTTAAGAAAATGATTGGCATAGATTGACGTATTATAACCTTATTAGTCTTTTTAATCGGACAATTGTTTATTAATACGTATGTACAGTTTTGAATTCTGATTTTGACCATAGTACAATATAAACCGTAAAGTCGATAAGATGACACACTTGTACGTATCTGGTATTGTTATTATATTTATATTATATACTTACTTCGTACCATTTTTCAAGTCATATTGAGTGCATATGTGTGGGGACTAAGCTTTTCCAAATCTTATCTCTAAAAAAATCTTTTTTCGGATCGGTGTCACTTAATCTTGCAAATTTCGGAATATTCCGGTTTAATAATACCGTTCAAAGTACCCATGTGACAAATAACTTTAAAATACGATATATATGTAGATGTGATAGTTAATTGTATTCATCAATGCGTCACACAGTGCACATGGTTTCTGTACTTGTTAAATTAATTCCCGATAATTGATAAATTGATAATAGCGTACTGTACGTACGTATATCGATACATATTTTTTGTTCCTCTTACTAGAAAGAGTATGCATTTATCAAACGAATATATGAATATATGAATGAGGTTTTAACAAATTAATAACTTGCACGATCATGTAATGCATGAATCAATTGTTATTTATTTAGACAACTAATTGTTTGTACATTAAAAGCACTTTAGTTTTCCTTGGATCTATAATAAAAACAAATATATAATGATTCTTGTTTATTGCGAAATTATTTTGTGACGAAAAGCTAGTAAAATCCAAAATTGTAAATGAGAATATGAAATAAATAAATATAATGATTTAAATATAAATTAAAAAAAAAAAAAAAAAAAAAGACACTGATGAACGCTTACTCTGAACGTTCATAGTGACCATTTGCCTTTAACACGAAGGACTTGTGATTGTAATAATAGTTAGAGATAAGAACACTAAGAATAAAAAATTAATAGATAAGTCTCTCTAATTTTTTCATTCTCTACGTCCAATCCAAAAAAAAAAAAAAACTTCATATATAAATAATTTATATGATCATTATGAAATGTGAACCTTTGCGAAACGCTCCGTAAGTGCTTCAACTTGATCATTTGTTGATCTGGTTTCATGTGGAGATTCCTGAACTTGAACTTCACTAACTTCTTGCAATTTTGTTTCTGGTGGTGGTTCTAAATCTTCAGTATTTGAGTCTTTATCTTCAAGTGTTAATTGTTCTAAACTTGGTGCCTCTATCAAATCTTCTTTGTCCTCTGGTCCATCCTCTGGTTCATCCTCTGGTTCATCCTCTTCCTCATCCTCTTCCTCATCCTCGCCAAGAATTTCCATATCATCTAATTCACCTAAAGCATCTGCATGACCATGTGCTTCCAATGCAGATATTACCTCCTTGATAGAGGCATCATCTTCTTCGACATTGTTACCATTTAATTCTAATGAAACTAAATCCTTAAGATGTGTAAGGATAGCAGAAGCAAGAACTTTTACACCTTTATTATCGATCTCATTATATTGAAGATTAAGGGATTCTAACTTTTTATTATGACCTAGTAAAAGAGTTTCAGCAATAACCACACCGCCTTTCGCCGATAATAAACAATCACCGACATTGAGGAATTTCAAATTTGGCCATTGAACAAGTGCTTCAGCAAAGGCTCGTGCACCCTTTTTTGTGAATGTATTGTCTTGGAGATCAAGAACTTCTAAATTTTTACATGCAGCTAACCCTTTACAAAGGGTAATGATACCTTCTGGGCGAATGCCATTTTGAGGCATACGAATTTCGACCAAAGAACCATGAGCAGCTATAGCGTCAGCAATAGCTTGACTGGACTCATTTTCTAATCTATTGCGACCAGCGATAATGGTTGTAAACGAAGATTTACGACCTTCAGAATTATTCTTCTCTGCCGCTGCAAATAAAGCCTTACCGATCAGCTTTCCACCACGAGGTCCAAGACCAACATTATTAAGTTTGAGAATCTTTAAAGATTTATTATTAGTAAGAAAATCAACCATAGGTTCGGCACCTGCCGGACCAAACGCGTTATCACTAAAACTTAATTCTACAAGGCATTCTTTATCCTCAAGCGCGTCACATATAGCTTTCACAGAGTGAGGAATCTCTTCCCTAAGCCTACCCGTAAAGATGTCAGACGCGTTGACAATCTGTATAAGGTGCGCAGTCAAACCGAAATAATTAAGACGCGTTAAAATTATGAAAATAAATTATAAGGCATGATTTGAATTCAAAACAATTTTTTTTTTTTTTTTAAAAAAAAAAAAAAGATTAATGGTTTGATTTCAACCGGTAGTTCTTACTTTGATAGAAATTTTCTTTTTTAAAGCCATAGCTATTGCCTGAGCAGCTTCAACACCAAAAGTGTTTCCACTTAACACTACTTCCTCTAAATTATTAAGGTCCAATATAGAATTCACATATTCTTGTACATCTTCTGCGGTATTCAATTTCAAGCCTTTTCCGGCGATGGTAAATATTGTATCAGGAGTCATTATAAATTCACCAATATATGAATCAAATACGTGATTTCGAAGGGTCTTGGAAAGGTGAGGACAAGAACTACGAAACTACGGTAGCATAAAATTTTACCTATTATACTTGGTATTCGATTGTCTGATTGTCCATGACTTTTGATTGGTCAAATCAAAACCTTTATAATAGATCATGTGACACATACTACCAAGAATAAAAATGGCATATTTGAAACATTCAATTGTACATTATCATTATTGTAACAGTTAATCTAACACTTATAATTCTCATAAAGAATCAAATTTCATCTTTCCACTTTCTACTCCATACCCATTAATCCAATCTTTTACCAAAATTTCATTCTTTCCTTCCATTTTAACACTTCGGCATTCAATTAATTTATCATCATTACAGATAACATATATCGAATCTAATGATTTCGAATCATAAATGATCGTACCCGGGCTATAATTTGTTGTTGCAATTTTATTTCTGATCTTTTGTTGTTTAAGTTCAGAAGGTAATGAGATATTGTGTAATTGTATACGTTTCTCAATAAAATTTGTGGTTAATGCATACTGTAAAGAATTTTTGTAGTTAAAAAAAAAAAAGTTAACAATTTAAATACTTAAAAAATACAAATATGTAAATATATAACCTGATGTGATATAGCACGATATAATTTATCTAATTTTTCCGCAGTTATCTGATTCCACTTAATTTCGGCCATATTTTTTGAAATTTTTGGTGCTTTTGTGACTTTTGTTACATCTTGTTCTTGTGCATTAGCCTATAATATAATATAATATAATAAGATGTAAAAAAATGAAATTATAAAACAAATAAATTGAATTATTGAAATAATCAAATAATTGAAAAAAAATAATTACTTGAAAATAATCAAGGTGTTGAAGAGTATCAACCAGTAATTCGGCACCTTCCACAGCAAGAGTTGACTCAAGTGACATGTAAGTGGATTCAGAAGGAATTGACTAGAAAAATAAATGAAAAAACATTCATGATTTTTGTAAATTTTTATAAAAGAAAATTTTGAATAAGAAATTCCCTAAATGCAATAAGAAAAATTACATTTACAGTATAGGAGTTTAATAATATATTTGGGTCAAGGTATTTCATTTAGGAGGTTGCATTTAGAGAAGTCTGACTATATATAAAAAAAAAAGACAAACCACGCTAATCTGCCTTAAAATTTTTCCAGCATCGAAAATTTCACGATGAAGATCTTGAATTGTAATTCCAGTTTCTTTATCACCATTCAAAATTGCATATTGGATTGGAGCAGCACCACGATATCTGAATATGACACGCAACGGTAATTCAAAGACATGAACCTCAGAAAATAATTCTAAATATATAAATGAATTATGTACTTTGGTAATAATGAAGGATGAACATTCATCGATCCTTTCGTAAAGGATTCAAGAATAACTGGTGTTAAAAAGTACCCAAATGATACAACTACACCAATATCGAAACGATCAATATCGAGGTGTATTGCTTCAAGGTCACGTGGCTTTGGAATCTGAAAAAAATTGTGGTAGAATTATAAATTTAGAATTCATATTCATCCCTTAATAAAACAATTTTCAAATAATTACCTTCCAATCTTGTAAAGTTTTTGGTGGCGCTTCATGAACAGCTAAACTGTTGTCTTGTGCGAATAGCTTTACAGGACCTTACGGTAGACGATATAAAATTTAGTTAAATGTTAGTTCCCCTCTTCCACTAGCTATCCCCTCCTCGCGAAAGAAAAGGATCTCTCGTAAAAGAAATGTTAGCATCTATTATACTTTGAGTTATAGTTTTCAATCCTCTACCAGTTCTACGGTCAGGAGGGACCACGACTTCAATCGATTTGACGAAAGAATTGATACCATTGGACTCTTTTTAAATTAATAGAAATTAATCAAAGTGAATATGTATATTATTTTGATAAATAAAATTGTCAAATATAAACCAATACCTTGATGATCCACTAAAGCGATTAACGATTCAAGAGAAAAATAATCCGATCCAAAAAAGAGTATTCGATATGGAGGCGAAATCTTTTCGAGTTGTTTGTTCCGCCTCGATGTATTATGAAACGGCTTGAAGAAGAAAAAAAATTAACAAAATCAATAAGAATTGATAATTAAAAAAAAACTTAAAGGTATATATTCTTATTATATGACAATTAATGCGATAATTTAAGTAATTTATCAACAATTTTCTATATGAAAAAAAAAATATTTTTTACTTACTGCGCGTAAAAATAATTCATTTTTTGATATAATAAAATAACTCGGAGAGCGTAATGATAAAAAGTTATTTTGGTTTAAATTTATTTTTATTTTATAAGTCTTGAGCGTTGCTTGACATCTAAACATCATATTTGGAGTAATTTTATTGTTACCATTATGTGTAAATTTTATAAATTTTATAGATGTTAAAAGCCAATGATATCAAGTTTCTAACCCACTCACATGAATTTAGATTATCTGTAGCGATAATTTTAAGTATGTATGTACAGTACGTAGCAAATAACTTTTCCATAATGTTTTACATAATAGGCTTAGGTTTATGTGACGAAACAGACATTACTGTCAAAGGTCTCGAAGCAATAAAATCATGCGAAAGAGTGTATTTAGAAGCATATACAAGCATTTTAATGGTTTCCAAAGAAAACTTGGTACAAATTCAAACAATTAATATTTTTTTAATATTTTTCATTATTCCTCGTATAACTTTGTTCAATTTAATCCATGTAGGAAAAGTTTTATGGCAAAGAATTAATAATTGCAGATAGAGAAATGGTAGAATCGCAAAGCGATGAAATATTATTGAATGCAAATTCTTTAAATATAGCATTTTTGGTAGTCGGAGATCCTTTCGGGTATGTAATTAATTCATTTCATTTAATGTACATTTACGATCTAAAAATTTTTTTATTTACAACAATAAAGTGCAACTACACATACAGATTTAGTGATACGAGCCCGAGAGTTAAATATTCCTGTCACAGTAATTCATAATGCATCGATTATGAATGCTATTGGTGCTTGCGGATTACAATTATATAATTTTGGTCAAACCATCTCTATACCATTTTTCACCGATACGTGGAAGCCAGATAGTTTTTACGATCGTATTAAAGAAAATAGAGATTTGGGATTACACACGTTATGCTTATTGGGTAATAAATTCATACTATGATACCGATTTATTTCTATTGACATTTTTTATTGACATTACATATATTATGAATTTTATTATTTATTAGATATCAAAGTAAAAGAACAAAGTATAGAAAATTTGGCAAGGTTTACACCATATTGTATTTCAAAATAAAGCAATTATATTTTACAAAAAACTTTTAACTGAAACATAACTATGAAACAGGAGTAAGAAAATTTATGAACCACCTCGTTACATGACTATCAATAAAGCAATTCAACAACTTTTTGAAATTGAAGAAACTCGTAAACAAGAAGGTAATTCAATTTAATTGAATTATTCATAATTTATTGAAACATATTTTTAAAATGAATTATTTTAAAATAGTTTACACACCCGAATCACTAGCAATCGGTATAGCCCGTCTTGGATCCTTCACGGACCAACAAATTAAAGTTGGTACTTTAAATCAATTATTGATACAAGATTTTGGATCACCATTGCATTCTTTGGTTATTGTTGGTTCTAAAGTTCATGTTCTTGAAATAGATTTCATGAGATTTTTTGCAGTTGATAAACAAGTATATAATGAAATTGTAAAAAAGGATTATGGAATATAAAAATTCATAAATTTATATAATTTATATTGTATTATTGTGTAAAATAATTTGTCCTAAATAAATAACTGTTTAAGCGGTAAGGAAATTCTAAATACAATAAAAAATCCAAAATTGATTTATTCATTTGGTTTTGCGGCTGGATCTAGACCAGCATTCTTCATTTTGATAGCAATCTCGAATAAATAATCATAACATTCAGTCATTGCCTTTGCTTTCGTCCACGATTCTTGATAAAAAAACAAGTAAATAAATTAGAATCACTATAAATTATAATCACTATAGATATAATCAATCGGAATTAAAAAATAAATAGTATACCTCCCCAAACATAAACACCATGACGTCGAACAAGGACAGCATTTGTTTCCGGATGTTGTTCCATCGCCTAAAATCAAATTTAATCAAATTTGATCAAATCAAATCTAATCAAATCTAATGAATCTAATGAATGAATAAAATTTGCTTTAACGTACTTGAGCCATTCTATCAGTCAAATCTTCTTCCTCTGGGGTATTATCTACGATGGGCACCACCAATGTATCATAATAACGGAAATTCTCTTTTCCACTACCACGTCTAATCCCTTTGATCATTTCCTGATGCGTTATTTCGAAAGTACTACCGGGGTATAATAGTGTAATCATCACAGCATTTTGGGAATGAGTGTGTATACATGATCCAGCATTAC